TCTCATATTCTCAAGGAACTGCGCTACTTCTAACCTCTCTGTAAACCCGCTCCACACATCCGATCACTTCTTCATTTCATTCTCTCTATCCCTTTCCAAACATAACAAACTAATCTCTTCTCATCCTGCACTTGTCCGCCGTAACCTTCGCTCCCTCTCCCCCTCTAGCTTTGCCTCGTCGGTGCTCTCAGCCCTCCCTTCCTCTGATTCGTTCCATCTCCTGCCTCCAAACTCTGCTGCAGAAAACTCTCCTCTCTACTCTCTCATCCACTCTGGACTCGCTCTGTCCTCTCACATCTCGGCAGGCTCGTCAGTCCCCTCCTGCTCCCTGGCTAAATGATGCACTGCGTGCTAATAGAACCGTCCTTAGGGCAGCAGAGCGGAAATGGTGGAAATCCAAACACCGTGACGACCTCCTAACCTATCAAGCTCTCCTCTCCTCTTTCTCTGCTTCGATCTCTCAGGCAAAAAGCACTTTCTTTCAAGATAAGATCCAATCTTCCTATTCCAATCCTAAAAAACTATTTTCCATCTTCTCCACCCTCTTGGACCCTCCAAAAGCTCCTCCCCCCCTCCTCACTTCTGTCAAGCGACTTTGTTACCCACTTTGAAAAAAAGGTTGATGATATTCGCTCTTCTTTTTCTGACTCACCTTTACTCACCGCTGGGTCACCAGACCCTCCTTTCACCAACACACTTACCTCCTTTTCCCCTCTCTCTCCAAGTGAGGTTCTTACCCTCATTACCTCTGCCCGCCCTACCACCTGTCCTCTGGACCCTATCCCTTCAAACCTCCTTCAGACTATCGCTCCTGATATTCTACCGTTTCTCACCCATTTCATCAATACTTCTCTAACTTCTGGTCACTTTCCAAACAGTCTCAAGGAGGCAAGAGTAAACCCTCTCCTAAAGAAACCCACTCTCAACCCATCTGATGTTATAAACTACAGGCCTGTCTCTCTCCTCCCCGTTCCTGTCTAAATCACTTGAACGCGCTGTCTTTAAACAACTCTCCTGTTATCTCAATCAGAACAACCTTCTGGATCCGCACCAGTCTGGTTTCAAGGCAGGTCACTCCACAGAAACTGCTCTCATTGCTGTCACGGAGGAACTGCACACTGCCAAAACTGCATCCCTCTCCTCTGTCATCATCCTATTGGACCTGTCTGCTGCATTCGACACGGTGAATCATCAGATCCTCCTTCGCACTCTCCAAAAACTTGGAGTTTCAGGCTCTGCACTTTCCCTCCTCACCTCATACCTGAAAGACCGTACCTACAGGGTGACTTGGAGAGGGTCTGAGTCCGACCCTTGTCAATTAACTACGGGGGTCCCTCAGGGCTCTGTTCTTGGTCCCCTCCTCTTCTCCCTGTACACAAACTCGCTCGGATCAGTCATTAGCCCGCATGGTTTTTCTTACCACTGCTACGCTGACGACACCCAATTAATTCTGTCCTTTCCCCGCTCAGAGACCCAGGTCGTTGCACGCATCTCTGCTTGTCTAGCTGACATCTCTCAGTGGATGTCTGCTCACCACCTCAAGCTCAACCTTGACAAGACTGAGCTGCTCTTCCTCCCGGGAAAAGATTGTCCCACTCTTGACCTAACAATCAACATCGGCACCTCAGTTGTTTCCCCCGACTCAGACTGCAAGGAATCTGGGTGTGACCCTAGATAACAACCTGTCCTTCACTGCAAACATCGCTGCTACAACCCGTTGCTGCAGATACACGCTTTACAACATCAGGAAGATACGTCCCCAGCTGACTCAGAAAGCGACTCAGGTTCTGGTCCAGGCTCTCGTCATCTCACGCCTAGACTACTGCAACTCCCTCCTAGCTGGTCTACCTGCATGTGCCATCCGACCTCTGCAGCTCATCCAGAATGCAGCGGCTCGTCTGGTCTTCAACCTTCCTAAATTCTCCCACACCACTCCGCTCCTCCGCTCCCTTCACTGGCTTCCGGTAACTGCTAGAATCCACTTCAAGACACTGGTACTTGCTTACCATGCTGCGAATGGATCTGGCCCTTCCTACATCCAGGACATGGTTAAACCGTACACCCCAGCGCGTGCACTACGCTCTGCATCAGCCAAACGACTCGTTGCGCCCTCGCTGCGAGGGGGACCCAAGTTCCCATCGGCGAAAACACGTGGGTTTGCTGTCCTGGCTCCAAGATGGTGGAATGAGCTCCCCATTGACATCAGGACAGCAGATAGCTTGCACATCTTCCGGCGCAAACTGAAAACTCATCTCTTTCGACTCCACTTCGAGCGTTAGAACTATTAACGAAGCACTTTTATACTAATAAAGGACTGGCTTACCTAAAGCCAGTTGAGTAGCACTTGAAATGTTTGGCTCTATGAAACCTGATGTACTTATATGATTCTGTTTTCTTCAAGGTTGTGTCTTCCTGGTCGAATGTACTTATTGTAAGTCGCTTTGGATAAAAGCGTCAGCTAAATGCAATGTAATGTAATGTAATGTAATTTAACTTATTTTCTTCCAAAAGTTAATTATCCAAAGCATCAAACACCCCCCTCTATTTACATGTAATGGTTTGGTCCTGCCTTCAAACGCTGTGCGGCACCGGCCCTTTCTAGCAGAGTGAGAGCATGTGAGCAGGGATGCTACGTGTGTATGATGTCTCAATGACTAACAAAGTCAGGCTTTCAAGAAAGAAAAGAAAGGAGAGAAAGACAAGAAAGAGGGACTAAAGGGCGACAGTGTGTCACCCAGTTTTTCAAAAGAAAAGGTGGGTGTGGTCCATGAGTGGTGGAAATTAGTCTGTTAGCTAAGCGTAGTCCATTGTAAATAATAATTGTAATGTTTTGCTGACATTAAAGGTGGGGTAGGTAAGTTTGAGAAACCGGCTCGAGATATATTTTTTGTTATATTGCATGGAATGCTCTTAACATCCCGATAGCAATGAATATCTTAAGTGCTTTGACAAAAAATCCATTAAAAAATGTCATCTGTGGAAGCCATAGTACTGTAAAAAGCACGACCAATCACCTGAGCCGGCCCGGCTAAAGTAACTGGATGGCCTACCTGCCTGTCAGCCTTCCATCTGTGCACAAACTTATCTTGTGCCCTCATTGGTCATGTACGCATTCGTGTGTGTTGGAGGAGGGGCTCTGTAAGGAAGTGGCAGATTTTTTCCGGTTGTGTATATTCAAATTCTAGCGCACTCGAGCTGGTTTCTCCAAAATTACCTACCCCACCTTTAAGTACTGTTAATATCTTCACAGAAAATTCAGAGGTTTTTAATTTCACTCCTCTTTTAGCTGACATTTAATAAATGCAGGTACATTTTTAGCAGCTATTCATACTAAATCAGTTGTCCCTCCCCCTGGTGCTAGGACCAACAGATCCATCTTTAGGCTCCGTAGCCCTGTCCCCCCATAAGGCTTTGCAGTCTTGCCATGCTGTCCATTGAAACCCAGTTGACTAGAAAGCTGGACTTCAAGGACTTGATCAGTGACTTTGCCTGTAAGAAGGCTAGGCGCTGGGCTCTTGGTGAGTAAGGCTGAGCCAGGGCTCGTAATAACTGTTAAAGGGCAAGGCTATGGTAACGATATTGGATCACTACACACCAGATGCATGATAAGAAAAAGACTGAGAACAGGTAATAGGCTCTGATTTAGCACCACCATCCGGCCTTTTCATTTCCATTTCCGTTTTGTTGTCCTTTTACACTTTAATACCCACTTATTTTGTAGTTGGTATGTATATTTAATTTTAAAAAACTGCTGCTTATGTTATTTTTTTTGTTATAGCATTTTATAAATGATAATATTGGTGTTAATGTTCACTTTATTTTAATTTAAGAGGTCATGTATATTTAAGTTATATTTATTTTGATTTTTGAATGTTCCATTCAAAAATGTTATTAAAAAGGCATGTACATCATAAAAGATGACTATTGAGGTCTATTGTCAGGAATGTTAGTGTTATATCAAATAGTGAATTCTACTGCGGTAGAATGTTGCACGTCTGCACAGTGTTATATGTTCACCGCTCAGTGTCAGTAAATATTGTGCAGTTAGTATTGGACTACAAGATAGATGCAAGCCTGTACAGGTAGAGTTATTTAAAGCATAAGAGTCGGTTGTGTTCTGGGGGTGTGGTAACAGCATTGTGCTTGGTTGGCGTGGCCTGGGCCTGATGGTGGGGCCCAATGTGATATATTTTCATGGGGCCCAAAATCCCTGGCGGCGCCCCTGCTCTCGTCCATCGAAAACATGTTTCGTGCGTTACTGAAGCTATCAGCCATTGGAGTGTTGCTTGTGGAAGACATTCTCAAGCAACCATTTCGCTTCTCATGCACTGATTCGCTAGCTGAACAGCCAATCAGAGGGATTTCTTTGTCCGACTGCCTGTGGCCGACGCACGGTCATGAAAGGCCAAATAAGGCGTCTCACGGCCGACGGTGCGGGACCAGTCTATGTGCGGGACACACCAAATTGAGTTTGGGCGACAGGGTACGCTTCGTCGTCCGACTAACGAAAACGGCCGATTTCGGCCTGGTGTGCCAGGGCCTTAAGTGTCTTGCTCATATACAGGAGGTGTGTGTGAGTCTTTTATCATATTCCCACAAATAAATGTCTACAAAAAATGAAGACCTTTTTACAATAAGTCTGCATTAAATTGTCTTTTACATATCCAATCAAACACAGTGGGACAAACAACTCTTCCTTAACTACAGCGAGAACAGCATCCATGGGTTGATTTCTTTTCAATGACTTAGCATAAAATTACTCAACCAATAATAAATAAATGCTTTGTCACATTCTCAGGTCACTCTCTCAGGTCTCTGGAAAACAGGTCCAGTTACCATAAAATATTGTAGACACTTTAAACCCTTTGCTTAGTAATAGAGTGAGCATGGAACATCAACTAGCTTCACATAACCCTGAAATAAAGCTTCACATGTTCTCTCAAGTCTCCAGAGAGTGTAAGAGAACAGCTCTAACAGAATAGTGTGTGTTTCAGTCTTACCATCAGAGCGGTGGATGCAGGTATGCTGGTTGTCGCTGAGAAAGAAGCCATGTGTGCACTGACACTCGTAGCTCCCCATGGTGTTGAGACACACTTGCTGGCATCCACCGTTGTTGTCTGCACACTCGTCCACATCTGTTGGGATTGGACACAGAGAGAGAGAGAGGGTCAGCTATGGTAGAATAGCAGCCTATTAGGCGACAAAACATCAGTCAATGAGAGTTTATGTGTCGGGAAATGTCCGATGAAAGGGATGACACACACACACACACACTAGGCATTAGGTGTTTACCGGGGTCTGACAACGTGAACATCTACAGTATGTGCACAAGAGTGTGTTTGTGGGGCCCCACTGACCGCCGAAAGGTCGGTACATTTCCAATGGGGCATTTTGATGGGACTCAAGTGAACTTCAAACATGTAACACCGTCCACTGACTTTTAACCAGGGATCAAACAGGACTGCCCCTGTGTGTGTGTGTGTGTGTGTGTGTGTGTGTGTGGTTTGTGTTGTGTGTGTGTGGTTTGTGATGTGTGTGTGTGGTTGTGTGTGTGTGTGTGTGTGTGTGGTGTGTGTGTGTGTGTGTGTGTGTGTGTGTGTGTGTGTGTGGGTGTGTGTGTGTGTGGTGTGTGTGTGTGTGTGTGTGTGTGTGTGTGGTGTGTGTGTGTGTGTGTTGTGTGGGTGTGTGTGTGTGTGTTGTGTGTGTGTGTGTGTGTTAAGCTCTGGCCTAAAAATATTGCAGAGGGGAAACAGAGCAGAACAGAGGTATCAAACCTGGATTCCACCTTCCCGCTTGCAGGTAAATAACTCGTATTTAAAAAGTAAATAACTCATATTTACCTGCAAGAGAGAGAGATTGCTGAGTTATTAAAGCTTGTTTGTAAAAGTTAAAATCACATGCTGGAATAATATTTAAACAAAGTATTTATAAAGTTAAGAAAGAGCGGGTGTTTAGGAACGAAAGCATTAGTCACTTTCAGCACCCCCGCCATGCTCTGATGACACAGTGGTGTGTGTGTGTGTGTGTGTGTGTGTGTGTGTGTGGTGTGTGTGTGTGTGTTGTGTGTGTGTGTGTGTGTGTGTGTGTGTGTGTGTGTGTGTGTGTGTGTGTGTGTGTCCAAACCCAGTGCCTGACCATGATGACTTTCCTTTGTGTTTAGTCTGAGTCTCTGAGGTTGACCAAGCAGAGAGGTCAGACAGGTTACACAAATATAGACATACTGCGAGGAAGGACCAAATGACATACAGAGAGACGAAAAGGAACACAGCTGATCTCAAATGTATACACAACGCGGCTTTGATAATTGATTGTGTTCGACCTCAGCCTTCATTAGCTTTTATATAATGATGACTATCAAGCCAGGACATCAACAGAACTAGGGACACAGTTCCATTTAGCCTCACCGTTCTATAAGGGGTCATTTTGCATAATTTGGGCAGTCTGTCCTGGAAGGCATTTATGGTGTTGAAATGTGTTATACACTGAACAAAAATATAAATGCAACACTTTTGTTTTTGCTCCCATTTTTCATGAGATGAACTCCATCCATCCATCCATCTTCTCCCGCTTATCTGTGGTCGGGTCGCGGGGGTAGCAGTTCCAGCAGAGAGCCCCAAACTTTCTTTTCCCTGGCGACATCAACCAGCTCTGACTGGGGGATCCCAAGGCGCTCCCAGGCCAGCGAAGAGATATAATCCCTCCACCTGGTCCTAGATCTACCCCTTGGTCTCTTTCCAGCTGGACGTGCCTGGAACACCTCCCTAGGGAGGCGCCCAGGTGGCATCCTAACTAGGTGCCCGAACCACCTCAACTGGCTCCTTTCGACGCGAAGGAGGAGCGGCTCAACTCCGAGTCCCTCCCGGATAACCGAACTTCTCACCTTATCCCTAAGGGAGACACCAGCCACCCTGCGGAGAAAACCCATCTCGGCCGCTTGTATCCGCGATCTCGTTCTTTCGGTCATGACCCATCCTTCATGACCATAGGTGAGGGTAGGAACGAAAATGGCCCGGTAGACAGAGAGCTTTGCCTTCTGGCTCAGCTCCCTTTTCGTCACAACAGTGCGGTAAAGCGACTGCAGTACCGCTCCCGCTGCTCCGATTCTCCGGCCCATCTCATGCTCCATTGTTCCCTCACTCGAGAACAAGACCCCGAGATACTTGAACTCCTTCACTTGGGGTAAGGACTCATTCCCTACTTGGAGTGGGAATGAGGACAGGAAACCGATGGACTGAGATGAACTCAAAGATCTAAAACATTTTCTATATACACAAAATAACCATTTCTCTCAAATATTGTTCACAAATCTGAAAGAAAATGTGATAGTGAGCACTTCTCCTTTGCCGAGATAATCCATCCAACCTCACAGGTGTGGCATATCAAGGTGCTGATTAGACAGCATGATTATTGCACAGGTGTGCCTTAGGCTGGCCACAATAAAAGGCCACTCTGAAACGTGCAGTTTTGCTTTATTGGGGGAGTCTGGGGGGGTCCAAAAACCAGTCAGTATCTGGTGTGACCACCATTTGCCTCACGCGGTGCAACACATCTCCTTCGCATAGAGTTGATCAGGTTGTTGATTGTGGCCTGTGGAATGTTGGTCCACTCCTCTTCAATGGCTGTGCCAAGTTGCTGGATATTGGCAGGAACTGGAACACGCTGTCGTATACGCCGATCCAGAGCATCCCAAACATGCTCAATGGGTGACATGTCCGGTGAGTATGCTGGCCATGCAAGAACTGGGATGTTTTCAGCCTCCAGGAATTGTGTACAGATCCTTGCAACATGGGGCCGTGCATTATCATGCAGGCTCAGGATCTCGTCACGGTATCTCTGTGCATTCACAATGCCATCAATAAAATGCACCTATGTTCGTCGTCCATAACATACGCCTGCCCATACCATAACCCCACCACCACCATGGGCCACTCGATTCACAACATTGACATCAGAAAACCGCTCACCCACACGACGCCACACACGCTGTCTTCCATCTGCCCTGAACAGTGAAAACCGGGATTCATCCGTGAAGAGAACACCTCTCCAACGTGCCAGACGCCATTGAATGTGAGCATTTGCCCACTCAAGTCGGTAACGACGACGAACCGGAGTCAGGTCGAGACCCCGATGAGGACGACGAGCATGCAGATGAGCTTCCCTGAGACGGTTTCTGACAGTTTGTGCAGATATTCTTTGGTTATGCAAACCGATTGTTGCAGCAGCTGTCCGAGTGGCTGGTCTCAGACGATCTTGGAGGTGAACATGCTGGATGTGGAGGTCCTGGGCTGGTGTGGTTACACGTGGTCTGCGGTTGTGAGGCCGGTTGGATGTACTGCCAAATTCTCTGAAACGCCTTTGGAGACAGCTTATGGATTGTAGCTGACATCCTCGTGGATTCATCTTCTTATTACAGACACATGCATTTCCTAACATTCGGTCTATATGCTGTAAAATGTATTATTTCTTCGATTTACACACGGCATCTATTGCACGTCTGTCCGTCCTGGGAGAGGGATCCCTCTTCTGTTGCTCTCCCTGAGGTTTCTCCCATTTTTTCCCCTTAAACTGTGGGTTTTCTCTGGAAGTTTTTCCTTGTACGATGTGAGGGTCTAAGGATAGAGGGTGTCGTTTTTCTCATACTGATATTCTGAACAATCTGTGCTGTTGTATTTGCTGTAAAGTGTCTCTACTGTAGGCTATTTTTATTATATGTACAGCACTTTGGCTCGACCAAAAATCGTTTATAAATGTGCTATATAAATAAAACTTGATTTGATTTGATGGTAGAGAAATGAACATTCAATTCACGGGCAACAGCTCTGGTGGACATTCCTGCTGTCAGCATGCCAATTGCACGCTCCCTCAAAACTTGCGACATCTGTGGCATTGTGCTGTGTGATAAAACTGAACATTTTGAGTGGCCTTTTATTGTGGCCAGCCTAAGGCACACCTGTGCAATAATCATGCTGTCTAATCAGCATCTTGATATGCCACATCTGTGAGGTGGGATGGATTATCTCGGCAAAGGAGAAGTGCTCACTATCACAGATTTTTTCAGATTTGTGAACAATATTTGAGAGAAATGGTTATTTTGTGTATATAGAAAATGTTTTAGATCTTTGAGTTCATCTCATGAAAAATGGGAGCAAAAACAAAAGTGTTGCATTTATATTTTTGTTCAGTGTATATACAAAATATTTGTTTTGAAGAATGGACAATAGAGCTGTATACATCGGAAACTTTCTCCCCACAAGATACAATGCTAGACGCAGCTGCCGAAAGACGCAGCTATATCAGAAAGGATTGGGAGAGGGTGTCTCAACATCTATCCTGGGCCGATGTGTCTCTTTAAGTTAGTGTTATAAAGCAGCGAGCAACAGTCAGTCCTAATGGTGAGGCTGTAAAGCTTCAACACGTGTTAACACCTACTCGCCATTGAAAACCAAGCCATTAAGGGCGAGGAGCTGCAGGCAGAGCTCCTCACTATTAAATCAAGGATTACTGAAGACACACGCATCAACTGTTTCTGAAACTCTGTCTTCTTCTGTGATAACCCACTCAATCTGGGTTTCATATGTAGGTCTCTTTTGAATTCCTCTTTCCACATAAGCACCTGTCTACAAGGCCTTTTAGTCCACTCTTTTGGAAAGCTATTTGTGACATTGCAGTTTTTAATAACGCGGCCTACAGTTCATGTATACATTTATAGATGTAAGATTCTATCGGCACCAGGTACATAAGATTTGCATTTAGAGTACTGCTCACTTCCTTACTCCTTATGTTTGAAATAAATGTGGCCTTAATTGTGACATCAACAAGTTGTTAACATTAAACAACTACAATGTGGTGCGTAAATGTTTTCAGAACAAAACAAAAAAATGTTTTCTGACCTGAAATTCCTTTCAGCTGAACATCATTAGCTGGTGCATTCTAAGCCAATGAATTATGTAATGGTCTCGAAAAAATCTATTTAGCCAAAGAAAAAACAACAAGTGTTGAAATATATAACGAGAACTTGTTTTTAACTGTTAATGGTGATGACACCAGTAAAAAAGTTAAACCCACATAGCATGATAAACGGAGCACTCCGTGTTCCAAGAGGCGTTTGGGGGGGTTGCTGACGGACCACTAGACG